CAGAAAGGGTCCTGGTGTAAACACCATCACTCTTGTCCAGTGATCCCAGTTTGATTGTGCCATCGTTGCGAAGGATGCGCGAGAGTCGGGCAGCAACAGGTGCCTCCTCGACACTCTCACAAAACCTTCTCCACGAGGCAGTTTTCCTCCTCCTCATTTCGTAGGAGTAGTAGTTACGAACAGCTTTGTATTCCGCCCATGCCTCCTCTCCTCCGAAGCGGGCAACCCGATAAAGCCTGCGAGCCTCCTTCCGAAGAGAAGTCAGCTCACGGCTCCACCAAGGTACCCTCTTCCTCCTGGATTTGAGTACTTTTTCAGGGCAGGCCACATCGTATGATTTATGGATAAAGTTACTGACCCTACTAGCGCTTGCCTCAATCTCCTCCGTAGATGACATTGGGCACGCCCTAGCAGGGTCAAGTTCCGTTAGTCCTTTTAATACTGATTTGTATAGGTCCCACCTTGTTCTCTTCCTGTCCCTATAGATGATAGGGTCAGGTGGACCAAGGCTTAGGCTGGTCCGAATATACCTGTGGTCAGAGCAACTTTCGTTGTCGTCGACCCACCAGGCCTTTATCCGGTCCAGCAAATGGGAGGATACAAATGTAACATCTAACACTTCTTTCTTATTCGATACAACAAAGGTGGCTCTGTGTCCCCTATTAATGGGGTGCAGATCCACCTGTGCAATGCAATCCAATAGTTGTGCACCTCTGCTGTTGATATTGGTGCTACCCCACATGGTGTGGTGTGCGTTGGTATCACTCCCTATCACCAGAGGTAGACCGTTGGTCTCACAGTATGAGACCAACTGACGCATCTCCTCTGGGGGGCATGCATAGTTTCTATCCATGTATGCTGAGGATATCACTACCTCTCCAACACCCCCCCACTGGGTACGGATGGCTGTGACATCTCTACAGCATAAGTCAAGCAAGGGCCACACTTTGATGTCCCTACTTGTAATAATACATGATCTGCTGGAGTGGGCATCCCGACAAAAATAATGTAGGTTGCCACAACCCCCCAGACCTCGTATTTTGCCTTTATACCAGTACGGTTCTTGTATTAGGCATATGTATGTCTGCAACTCTGCTAGGGTACGACATAGAGAAGTCGTACCCTTTTTTGAGTGTTGCAAGTTAATTTGCACCAAGTTCACACTTTTGGTTGTCATATTAAAAGATGACAACCCGGTTCGAAGAGATGTAGATGAGTGTGATGGTGTAATATTAGTGATGTTAGTGTTAGTCATTGTGAGTGAGGGTTATGACGCGAAGTTAATTTTGAGGGGGTGTTTCAGTTACCCGAAACACCAACTCATCAAAATAATAATTAAATTCGGCGGGCGGTTTTAAGGCCGCCACGCCAGATTTAGGAATACGACAAAAACAGACAAAACCTTGACCTGACCTTATAGAATGGGTCATCCTCCATGTGGTCGTGTCCATGCCCTGGTTGAGTCGAGAGATAGTGGGGAAGAGTACCTTGGCCAAAGGTTGTGTCGCCTCCCTGACCCAAAAACTCACTTTTGCTTCCGCTTCCGGTGGTTTGGGGTCACTGGTGGCGAATTTCCCCCCTTCAAGCTTGTCCACCTCCGCTTCAGCCCAAAGTTTGGTGGTGGGGTCACGGCATGTGAGAACCATGCCCCCACCCCGGATCACAAGTCCACCAAACTTGAGCAGGGTTGTCGCTGCTGCCGCATCGATGGCAGAGCGAAGTCCTACCTGGATGGCCTCTTGGTCTTTTTTAGAAAGAGGGCGGTGAGGGTCATCTTTATAAGTGATGACCACTTCACTACCCTCAATCACGACCTCCCGGTAGGTAGAGGGCCTCTTCTTCTCCCTCGGATTATTGGAGGTTGGGGTCTCCCTGCCTCTCTTGTTGTTGGTGGTAGTGGAGGAAGAAGACCCAGCGTCTTTTTTGAGTGTGGGGTCAATTTCGTGAAGATTGACCCTCTTCACTCTGTTCCCCCCCTCCGAGTGGTTGGGGTAGAGGGGAAAACCCTGCTTCCAGTCGCAGCGGCGCTGGTGGCAGTTGTTGTAGTAGTGGTTGGAGCCGTGATGTTGGTGGTGGTTGTGGCGGTGGCAGTGACGTCATCGTTGGATTTGGGGGCAGAAGGCACACCCCCAGCCCGCAGCTCCTTCGCGCGCCGCCTCCTCGCCCTCCTCTTCACCGTACGGTTGTTGGCACTGGTGGCGATTTGGGGTGGTGGCAATGGTCCTTCTCCATCGCCCCCCATCTCCATCGCCTCCCCTTGGCCTCCACTCACTGCATCCGCAGAGGGGAGATGCGCCTCATCAGAGAGGAGTGACTCCTCAACCTCGGAGGGGAGAAGTAAATCTCCCTCTTCGCCCTCAGGTTTGAGGATCTCCTCCTCCATCTCCTCCTCTCCTGCTGATTTCCTGGAGAGAGAGGTGAGTAAAATAATGTAGAACAGCCATAAGCCCACAAAATTTGGGCTTATGGCTGTCCATATAATTAAAATTATATAATTAATATAAATATATGGGTTGCAAAAGGGAGGAGGTCGGAGGTGAGGACTTTCTCCACATATTTCGTGTGGAGAAAGTTCTCTCTCGCTCCCACTCTCCCTCCCCCACAACCCAATACTTTCCTGGGAGCAGGCACTTCCTCCCATGTCAGGGTGGGTGTAGCACACTTCACTCACCTTGACATGGTGTCCAAAATTGGTGAATTTTATTTTTTGTAAAATAACAAAAAAACTGGGCAGAATTGCAAAAGTGGGTGGGTCTGGCAAGCGTAAATGGGGCCATGGAATGAAATCCGTCTTCACTTTTGCTAGACTCACCCAGTGCTACAACATATCCAAAGGGCATCAAGATCGGTGATTCTGTCGGTGAAGGGTTGTCCTCCTTAGTTTGCTTAATATGGATTTTCAGAGTGCATATATTTTTGAAAAGGTTAACATTATTTTTAAGAGTGTATTGCAAATATGCGACACACCTTTATGCGACAGATGTTTATCTTTGTGGCAGTACGTTTTATTACGCTTGATGCAAATTTATTCATTTTTATGTAACAATTACAGCACGTGAATTATGGAAGCATACGCGCCATTCTTACGCTTATTTTAGATATGACGATATGTACCATATCTTGTATCATTCTTATACTGCTATTTAAAATTCCAGTAATAATTTTAACATGTCCTGATATGCTGTACATCCGCAGCCAAAGATCCGGTGTATATCGTCACCGCGATACACATTTATCGTGCTAGGATTCCATAAGCCCAAAAAAAGTATTTTAATTAATGAAAATAAAAATATGTACTTTCTTCGGGAGGAATTTGAACCAAAACATCTCAAATAAAGGGAAATACCCTTTTCCCCATGAGAAAAGGCAAACGGTTAATTATACCACGTGGAGCATTTGCCTTTACCTTAAGCCTTTGCTGCAGGCAATAAACTTTTCCCGGAGCTATTGCATTCATTGACCATTCATCCCAAGATTCATTCGGTTCAGTTTTTTAGGTAGGGAGTTTGGAGATTTTCTAATCTCTCGACATCCTGTCACCAATGGTGACTCACCATCGTCCGTGATGCCACAAGCTTCCTTAGAAGACCTGCACAAACTTAATATTCACAATAATTGCATATTATCATGCAAGTTCAAGCAGATCCAACTCAATAAATGAAGCAAATTATCGGAGCATTCAATGATTACGATGGTCACAATTTCTTGTATTATCAAAAGCTTAAAATTGCCATAAGATTTTCAAAAAACAATTATTTAAGCGTTTCTCTTCTCTCATGAAATTCTAAATGGGGGATGATCTTGAATATTCCATTCTGAGAAATTACATAAGTACTATTTATCTTGCTACACTAGCACACCTCCTTTATGAATTTTTGACGATACCTGACCACCCAAAAAATAACAAGTATTCTGGATATGAAATTAAATATTATACGCTTTAGAATATTAAGACTACTCAAAATTTCACTTGTTAATATTCTTATATTCAAGGTGAAGGATCGTAGCCTTATGCAAACATATCTTGTTTACATAGTCCTGAGTAAATTGGCATACTCGTAGAAATCATAAGCAGTATATATGTACGTACATACGCGCATATATGTGTATATACGTACATATACCTATATCAGCATAGGGGGATAATGCATACATATGTACTTACATGTGTATGCAACAAGGCAAGTACATATTGCTACTATGCATTGGTTCGTCTTTGGTCCAGGTGAAAGAGATGTACATACATTTGCACCAAAGACATCTATATATTTGTATGTAAGTGAGGGAGGGATCCAACCATTAAATCACATTGGTGGTAAATACGTGACTCACAAGGAAAACTTCCGAGGTGCCCGTCGTGTCCAAGGTACCCGTTACGTTTTTAGAATCTATTAGTATCCTTGATGAAATATCCATCCAGATCTGCTAACAAAACTCATATTTTGCGCCATATTCGCCAAATTTAAATGTTCTTATGTAACTTTAAAATCGCCACACCGTTTGATAATCTGTACGGATTTCCAGAATTTTTGGGTAAAATTATGACAAGAGTTCAACTTTCTAGTGCAGTCAAATTCTTCGAAAAAATTCTTGGTTCAATTTATTTTAGAAAATTTTGACATTTTCCTAATCATGGGGATTCGTCAAATAAGTCTGTCAAATATATCAAAAATTAAATTTGATTATGTTTTGTTCTTCAAAGTTTGAACTTTTAAAGCACAAAATTATGGAAAATGCAAAACTTATGGAGGTTTGAAATTGGTCGAGGTTGGGGATTTTAAATTTGGCGCCACGTCACGGCGCGGAATATGAGTTTTGCACGAAAGTATGGATGGATCTAAGATCTTATTTTAGATCCTTCATCTGCTTAGGGTCTTAGCATATTATGAAGAGCATGGTGGATTCGGTGGGCACGACGAGTACCTCAGAAGTATCCCTTGTAAGTTGGAGAAGAGAGAAGATACATATATATGTACCTGCAATCATAGATATTTTGAATAATGTCCTTATCATCGATTCCCTTCATACTTACAATCATATTCTCCACTTTTTCTGGATTCATTCCATCCCCCTTCCCATGTAAGTATTTACTAAAACCTTAAATCTTATTTTAGACAGCAGCTTAATTTTATAAGCGTTGTACAATTTATAAAAAAATATTCCTGAAATTCCTGAAATTATGGGTAATCTAAAGTTGTTGGTGGTAGTATTAGAGGGTGTTCCAGAAGTAATGCAACTTTGGTCAAATGCACATATAAACTCAACGAATGAATTTTTTAAAGCGAAATTTTGGTCAGAGAGGGACAAAGGTTAAAGCTAATTAAGTTTTGCTTCCAATGGTCCGTACACCCCTCCCGCCAAATTTGGAGACGTTTTTGTTGGGCGCTCACAATTAGTGCTTCGCCACTGTTTTGGTCACCTTTTTTGAGATTTTTGACCACATGTGTTGAAATAAGTTCAAATTTTTGACTGAAGTTTTTCGATTACAATATTTTTTCTAGGATAGGAACTAAAATTTTTCAATAGGTCTTGTATTTGACAAATTTGGGAACGTTGTTCACCTATCCCATGTTAATTGCATTTGATCCGTTTTAAGGCGGAGCGTGATACTTTGGCTTATATTTAATTTCCAGTTTTGCATAAATGGTTTTCTTGAAGGTGGGAGAGTTGTACTATGTGCAAATAAAAGCATTTTGATAATCTGAGCAGTAAATCGTCTTGTACAGGACGATCAATTTTGGTTAATTTTAATTACTTCAGGTCAAGGATTTTTTCTGCCCTCCTGCTTGCTACTTTTATTTTACTTTTGACTATATTTATAAGCTTCTAGAACCTTCTAGGATTTGATGTCCAACTTCTAAGCTTTCAAATAATGTATGGTGTTCGGTGAGAACTTCAAGTACTTCAGCGAATTTCGCTCCGACATAACAAATTTCTATCTACACGAAGTTTATTACTTTCGGGGCTGCCACACGAATGTACCGACCAGATATTTTTTGCGATTAGTCGTTTTTTGCAGCTCATACCTTAGTATAACACAACAAATCGTCACTTTTGGAATTTCTTATTTTTTAAAGTGAACACAGCTCAATTTCTTGGAGCGCGTAACCACTTTTTCGAGGTAGTGGCAGACGATGGTTGCGAGTTGCTTGGTGGTATTTGACCTCATTTTGGAACGGATAGAGATATCGACTTCTGGTTTTCGGATTCTACTAGATAAATGTGTGGACTACAATATTCACCCAATTTCGAATTTGGGGCAAATTGATACCCTTGCATATATGCATTTTACCAAAGTTGCATTACTTCCGGAACACCCTCTATCAGTGGTAAGTGTAGTTATGGGGATCACCCCGTTAACGAATTTTGAGGAACAAAGACCTTTTGACGGGTGGAATTTGGACAATGCTATCGCCAACATTTTGGTGTATTTATTTCAAGAGCATGTAAAACCTCGTAATGTAATTCATAAGTTTTGTGAAGTGTCAGGCAATTTCTCAACAGGATGGTGTACGAAAATATTTTTTTGCATTTCAAGATAATTATGTTCAATCCAGGCAAGCGTCGTAACGTTTTAATTGTACATTTTCATACTCAGGTTTGCAATATTAAAGTTAAATAACGGCGACAGAATTTGTATTTAGTTAGGCTGCAGTAAAACGGAAGTAGTTTTTAGGCTTTTAAATGATAAAATTTTAATTTGTTCCAGGCAACCTGAAAACAGCACTGGATCCAGAAGGAAATGGGCGTATTGTGCCAGTCTGTCGAAGACATGAATTAAGGGGCCTGGATGTTACGTTTCTAACCAGAAAATTGGCTGCAGTCTTAGCGTCGCTGGACTCAATTAATTCATTTAATGTCACTCTACTAAGTAAGTGATAGATACATACATACATCGCTATTAATTTTCTCCTTAAAATTGTCTCCTTAAGTTTATATTACTGTTGGTTTCTCGTTGTGTAGATGCCAACGAGTCAAGCAGTTTTATTGATACCTTGCGTGGCTCCGCATATGACGGTTTTAACGCAGTTAACCGACAAAGTAAGGCTTCCCGGCCGGAAGACCTTTTCGCCAAGGCAGGGATTACAATTTCTGCTACTTCCGGTAACTCTGACATGGACGAAGTTGCGGTACAAATTGTAGGAAAAGGAGTGTCATCAACCCCGGGTATTGTAATAGGTACCGTTGCTTCCAGAGGTATGTGCACATGCAGAAATATATTTATGTACATAGCACAAATCGGGTGCAAATTATATTTTGTATGTAATGCATTATGAATTTGTGCACTTCATAGGATTACGCCAGCCCTCCATGCTGTCGTTGTATGGTTTCTCTCTTCGCGGTGGCATCGAGTTAAATGACCACTTGTATATTTTTAGTTGCGTATCCTCACCTTGTACAGTGAACGGATTACTTGGTAAGAAATTAATTGTCCACATTTAATTAGTTTCATTGCGATGAAGTAATGGAGTGTTAACGACAAGATATATTTTGTTTTCTTAAGCAATTTTAACAAATGGAGATGTCAACGTATTGGAACTAAAGACATCCGAACCGCTGGAGAATAATCAAACCATGGTTTTTGTAAGGGGCCTGGGCGGAAACAAGGGCATTCTAGGAAAAGAGCAGTTCTCGTCTTTACCAGGAATTACCATGTTGACAGCAGTAAACTTCCCGTCGTTTCCGTTCTAGAAATTTAGTAATTTTGGCTTTGAGTTTTCATTTTTCGATTACTATAAATTTCTGTAATTTTTTGGGAAGAATTCAAAATCCGTATCAGTCAGTAGATCTATAGTTGATTGGCTTTTGTAGAATAATTACACAATTTCATAAATTTTGGAGCTGTGTACATACATATTTGTCTGTACGAAATTATGTTGATAGATTTAATCCAATAATTTACTTATAAATTGTCAATCATCGTATTAACCAGACTTGTTAAAGAGATGTTAGTCTAATAAAGAAAAACATGTATTTCAATAATATACGAATATTAATGGTAAATTTAATTTAATCTTGGTCTCCAGATACGCAATTGAACAAATTTCTTAAGTGTTTCATTATTTCTACTTTATTGTTATTGTTGTTGGTGGAAAGGATTTATCTCCAGGTAGAAATTTAATTAGCTAATTACGTACAAATTCTTAGTGGGCAATTGTATATGCATACTCCATTTGCGTGCAGTGTTAAGTTTAATGATTTACTTGCAACATAAATAGTGCAACATATTACACATGCACATACATTAAAGGAGTTTATTTTTTGCATAAATTTGATTCTAATTTTGCTTAAGTGTTACACAAATTGTAGCGTACATAAATTTCGACATGCTTTCTTGTTATAAATATTTGAAACACTGTTCCAGCAATAAATATTTGTTATAAAATTATTTTTCTGTTTGTCTATTTTTCAAGAATTTTAAATTTTTATACGGATTCTCATGTTCACTAATCTTGATCTGATCAATTTTTTATGCTTATAGAATTTTTAGAGGAAAGAAGAAATAGCAGGAGTTAGTCCAGTTTGAGAGTATGCGTAAAAATTATTTCGTACAACTTTACCGAGCGGGGGAAGCAGGGTATGGAAAACCCCCGGGGTTTTGCTATTGAAAACCCATACCCGGGGGTTTTACGGGTAGTCTTTGGGGATAAACTGAGTCCGTGTCTTATGTACTCATCCTCAGTTGGGAAAATAATTTGCTTTTTCAGAAATTTTGCAGAAAAGCTGCTTATTAATTAGCTTACTAGCTTATTAATTTGTAGAATAATTAGTAATGTCCTGTTATCATACTTTATTAAATTTGAAAACCCCGACTACCCCGACTATCCGTGGGTATTTTGACCCTATCTCGGGTAGGCTACCTGGCTCACTAGTTACACGTCCCTTCATTTTCCGAAATTAATTTTACCTCCTTGCTAATAAATTAATAGTTATATCAGATGAATATTTACATATATATGTACGTTTTCATGTAAAATCTATTTTTATTTATGAGAATGGAAAAACAATGATGTATTTACATATTTATATTTTACTTCAAACTTTGAAAAATAAAGCCATATAAAATTTATTTAGTTAGAAAGATCAATCTCTTCCGATGGACGTTGTCCGGTCTTAATCCCGCAACCCACGACTTGGTTGCTATGACAACCACGGAGAAAATTATTATTGAGGCTCCAACCGCACTATGAAAAATATTAAAATGTGTCATACATAATTAAAGTCTGTCATTACAACCTTCCATACAGTCCATTTCGAGTTCACTAGTAGTTGTAAAATCTACTCTTAAAAATAATGTTCTAGTTTTGAAAAGCAATTGCAGTCACCAACTTAAATTAAATAAGCTATACTACATCCAGAGTAAACTTTACTTGATTAAGGGTAACGGTTATGCTGGATTTGGTATCGTTTACTTAACATGTAAATTACATAATGTAATTTACATAGATTGCACTTATTTTTAAAAAGGGAAACATTATTTTTAAGAGTTTCCTTACGAATAAACATCCGGATAAATGCTGAAGAACTGCAACTGCCATAAATACGCGAATAACACCTCGCTACTCCGGATCACGGCGACGGGGCCGGCATTCTCATATTTTAGCGCCATTATGATCCCTATCTGTCCAAGGAATGTCATCAGACCCAAACATCCGAGCAAGCTCCAGACCCAAATTGTATCTGGAACCTTCAGCACGTCCAAAGCCCACCCCATGGCGCCACTCTGCCCCACCCCCCAACCACCCCCGACGAGCAGCATAAGCGAAAAATGGGTCTGTCTGATGTTCCGCATTAAAATGAGCAACGCCGACCCACACGCCAGGGACACCACGGCCAAAAGCACGCCAATCCACACCTGTTCAAAAAGTATTCAAAATTCATTCGATTGACAATTTGGAAAGCATTATTCATCTATTCTAAATTAGAAAATAAAGATTTATTCATTATTCATTTTGCATTAATTTAAATTTATCTCAAATTCGCCTTATTAGTGATGTTTCTCAATAACCCTATGTATTTCGCATAGCATAAAAATACTAATTCATGCTTCTTGAATATGAAATGAATAAATATTTATTCAATATTCATTCATTCAAAAATTTGGGAAAAATTATTCACCCATTATTCATGAATTATAAATGAATTGTTGTTGAACAATGACTGACTAGTTTTTCATTCTCTATTCATTAAATGAATATGAACAGGTATGCTCTTATCCTGACCTTTGCATCGTCCGGTGTCCCACTCGTGAGTAGGGGTGGCCGGGCAATGACCATGACGCCAAGCACGGTCAAAATCGCGACACAGATCGAGACGACTGAACATTTTTCGCCGAGACAGAAATGGGCGAGGATGGCGACGAGGACGGGCGACGAGAACGACACGACTGAAGCGTCCGCCAAAGTGATGTACTCGAGGGAGTAGAAGCGGAAAATTATTGAAGAACAGCCGGAAATTCCTTGAAGCTGCAAAATCATAGTTGGATACACTCTTAAAAATCATGTTATCTTTTTGACAAATAAGTAACTGCACCCTGAATTCTGGATTAATTAAACTATAGTAAATCCAGAGTAACGTTAAATTCATAAAGAGATAAGGATTTAGTGTAGTTTAGTTAATACAGAATTCATGGTGGACTTACTTATTTGTCAAAAAGATAACATGATTTTTAAGAGTGTGAATTTGAATATATTGCAAAATTTTGAAAATCTGGCTCACCACGTATGCTAAGCAATGTTTTAAGTTTTTCACATTGCTCATCGGCCAAACCGAGTCGAACACGGGTTCCGAAGTGCAAAAATGGTAATAAATAGAAATCGGGATGGCTGGCGCTAGAATGCCGACGTAACGCCAGATAGTGACACAAATCGGGTGATAATCGTACTGCTCTCGGAGAACTGAACAAAAAAAATATGAATTTGTAGACATTTTGAGATACATAGTGTTTGCAGTAAATTGGGGAACATTTGAGAACCAAATTTCGAGATGCACAACTTCGCAAATGAATTTTGAAGCCAAATTTTTTTCCGATTTTTTTTGGGTTAAATTTAATGCCCCACTTATTTAGCTGAAATTTGCCACTTGATAAGATGGGACCTCCCACCGGATGAACTTTCCACTATATATGATTTCAGAACCAATTAATTAGCTATTTTTCTAATCTGGATGCGAACGAATATACACGTAAATATTCGAAACGAATGCCCCCAATATTTCCCTACAATTACTACACTCTTAGCAAAACTTTATTGAATCATCGCCAAACGAGCCTACATGACTTAACCAAATTGTGATAATATTTACCCCACATTGTGACAAATCTTCCCCACAATGTGTAAACGTAACACTGGATAGTGAGGATTTAATACATTGTGGGGAAGATTTGTCACAATGTGGGGTAAATATTATCACAATTTGGTTAAGTCATGTAGGCTCGTTTGGTGATGATTCAATAAAGTTTTGCTAAGAGTGTAGAAATAAATATATTGCTGACAAATTTCGCAAAATCTCCATGCATTTAAGTAAACAATTTTGTCGAATTTGTATTTAAGCAAATATTTAATATTCCAGACTGCATTATCTTGCTAAATATGTATTGTATGTGAGCAAGTTGACCTCACCTTTAGCGAGGAGTAAAGTAAGTGAGAAACAGAGGGAGGATAGCACTCCGAAAATAATCCCCCCGAATTTTCTCCACCCCTCCTTCCCCGTCTGGGTAGTAGACTTCTTCACTGTTTTATTATCTGTATTCGGTTGTTTCGATTTCTCCTGGTCCAAAACGATGCCACAGTTTCGTACAGGAGAGATTGAAATCTAACATACATAAAATATGTTCCTAAATCATGTTACATAAATTAGCACACTCTAAATAATATGGTAACAATCCGCCGAGGACTACATATTGTCCTCTATTTTTTTGTAGTTATCAGGGTAAGGAGAAGCCCGTAGTTTTACAAAACGCATTTTGCGGGTAGTCGGGGTTCGAAGTGAAAACTGGGTCAGTGTATTAAGTTATGGAAATAATCTGCTTTTTCAGTAATTTCGCAACAAAACAGCTTACTAACTAAATTTTAAATACTAATTAATTTGTAGAATTGTTAGCAATGCCCTGTTCAAACTTTATTAAGTTTCAAGACCCCGACTACCCGTAGGAATTGCTAATATTTTCTACCCCAAAACCCACAAAACCCCAATACCCAAAAACCAAGGGTAGCATACCCTTATAATTCCTACAGGGACTTCTATCGCCAAGAAAAAATAAGCCATAAACTAATGCAGCAAATCAACCTGACAAGAATTAAGGTGTAATGTACCGTCTCCGCTCCTAGAATCGGATCTCTTGGTACGATCACACTTAACACGTCGCCATCGTCCTTCGTTGCGCCCAGGTTGTCGTGACCGCTTCGGATGGGTTCCTTAACGTTCCCCGCGCTCGAGGGGAAATGCACGTTTGTTGGGGCTGAGTTTGACATAATGATTGAGTTTTAAAAAAATCACAAACTTTTCACAAATGTTACACACATCTTAATTTGTGCTCACTTTTGGTTAAAATATATTTATGAAAACTTGACCAATACTTGTCCCAGTAAGCTGGCAAATTAAATATGTATGCATATACCAACCAGTCTGGCCCATCTCTGTCCTCATTCTTGCTGCATGCTTTTAAAAATTTCCATTGAGCCAGGTGGCCCAAGTATCGTGGTTTATACATGCATACATATGCACATATTTATTTGCAAGCACGTGTTCCACGAATGCCCATAAAATTTGCGGCTGTAGAAAAAACTCTATTTGTCGATGTCCACCTCAAACTTGTTTAATCAGATTGAATAAAGGTACACACATACATTTGCAGTTACATATTTATGTATTAAATATATGTATAACTTACATATGCATATATTTGCAACTGCACAATCACAGAAATACATATGTAGTATAAATCTTACACTATCCTCAGCCACCTCAATTACTACATATTTACTACTAGTAAAGATGTGCCATAAAAGCTCAGATATTTTATGCCCGACGAATAAATCTCTGCTCAAGGACAGGTCGCATATACATAAGTATCTGTGAATATTTAACCTGCATCAGGTCAAGAACTATGACGTCAGGGGAAGTTTAGTGAATAATTTATAAAGTCAAAATTTTTTAGCAAACGTGTTAATTCATGGCATAAATTCCAAACTGCTTTGTAAATATGTACATGCATTTACATGTGCCAAATCCTAAGTATGTATCTGCAGGTATGAATGTATCTATGCACATACATACATACATATGTATTTATATGTATCAACATTACCATGAGAAGTTCAAAAGTACTACAAGTATTTATTAAAAGTATAAAAGTTCCGGTAATGTCCATGCAGCCACTGCTACATACGTGCGCACATATCTATCTACTTATATTCGTAAGAATTTCAAGAAAAATTAAGTCTGCAATTTATCAACGTTATGCCAAACGTAATAGGTATTATGTACATAGATATATACATACCTACCAATGTAAATACTCGATGGTGTTGTCACAACACTATTGTGAAGCACAAGAAGAAGGAAAGTCACACGAGTTCCAGTACAAGAGATGTAATTCATCTTTAAATGATTTACAAACATTGACACTTTCAATGAACCTACTTCCTACTTCCTTCTGCACTTCACGACAAAGTCATTCCCCAATTTTGGAAAAATGGAGGCTACCAATTCATAAAAAGTAGAGGATTCCATCAACCCGTCACATTTGCAGGTTTCTCCTCCATGCCCACAATCCCCAGATCGTTTCGTACCATTGTACCGAAACTGCGCCTCGGTCGGCATCGGAATATCTAAATGCTGCAGCGTCTCGCACGGCGGATTCGCCCTGGATAAGAAGGAGTCGTGTAGAAAGGGGAAGATGGTCTCAAAATGGAAATTATCTGAGTATTCCTTAAATTCTTTATTGTGTCTCTTCTCCTTTCCGATAATTAACCTCTCCAAGACTGGAAACTGTTTTGGGTAGGCCAGCCTCACCCCAGTATTCTTGTCCTCTGTGGCAAACCGGAAGTAAAGGTTCGGTTGGAGCCATAGCTGTCCACAAGATATTTTTTTCATTTGACTTAAAAAGTGATTCTTCATTTGCACCAAATCCTAAAATCAATGCTTTTCCATCACTTATTTTTTATTGTTTTTTATCTCAAATTTCCCTTATTTGATTGACTTCTCAAAATACCCCGCGTACAGAACACAGGGTGAAAAATGAATCTATATTATAAGCTGGAAATGTCTGTCGGCAACGGAAGTGTTCCGCAACGGAAGTGAAAGTAAAGAAAGTCAGGTTTAGATGGCGCGAATTTTAAAATTAAATTAAATAACAAAAATAATAATAGTCAGATTATATGTAGTTATCTTGGGATGGTTGTTTAACGGTGGTTATCTACTCCAGATAAACACCATCAAATATGAGATATATATGTAAATGTTCAACATATTTAGAATATTCAGAATCTGTTAACTATTCTATACTTTCACTTCCGCCGCGGAACACTTGCTTTCACTTCCGTTGTCAACAGACATTTCCAGCCTATAATTTACGCCCGGTGGATGACGGGCTTATACGCTTGTAAGGAATAAAATTGTTCATTCATTCTTCATGAAAATGAAATAAGTAAATACTTGTCAATATTCATTCATTAAAAAATACTGAAAAAAGTATGCACTCCTTTTCCTTAAATTCGGCTAATAATGAATAAATAATTTCTTCATTGAATGAAGGTGAACGGGCCATACATACATACCCCATCCCGAAGGAAATCATGACTCCTCCTAATCTCGAAAACTTTTAATTTCGGGAGAATCGGGAACTCAAATGTTGCCGTCGAAATCGGTCCAGGCCTCATATTGGTGACCCAACGAATGGCGAAGTGCTCTAAAGTGGGTGAAAGTCTGGTCAGAAGTTCGGGACAGGTCCGTTCAGAAAATAAGGTTAGATTGACCTCAAGTTGGGTCAAGGTCACGGGAAGGTTTAATGGGAGTTTTGGGGTCGAGAAATTAATCGAGGCCCCATCCGTCCTTCGAACGCAGAGTTTCCTCAATTTAGCGGGAACTTGAGACATATCGAAACTTATGGTGTTCTCCAACTTGAGGACTTCCAGGTTTGGAAATATTTTAATCAATGGGGGCATAATTACTTGAGAAACTTGCATTTGCAAAAGAGCCGCTCTTCTTCTGGGGTGAAATTCCGCCACAGTCGGGTGCGGTCTTACCGAGAATTTGGTAACATTCGGAAAATCGCGGTAATAAGTGGAAACCAATTTGGCGAAATTTACCAAATAGTCTGGGCTCATGCTGTGCCAAAATGTGGGGCATAACTCGAGCGATTTCAAATTTTTTAGGGTTTTGCACACTTCAAAAATTTGTCCCGGAATGGGGGACGAGTACGCTACGAGGACGAGATCTATCTTTAAGGAGGTCACCTTTTTAGAGTTGGCGGTCAAAAATGGTTTCAAATCTTCCAGAAAATCGCCTATTTCGGCGGTAGTTTCGAGTAGGAGGGACACATTCAGTTTTTTGTGACAATGACGATGCCGAACCGACATTGTTTGAAGGTAAGTCGAAAAATTTGATTTCCTTAGAGTGGCCTCAGTTCGAGATAGGAGGACGATCCGAGCTTCCCTTTCCCATGTTGAATTGACCTGGGTGCACGAGATGAGGCCAGATGTCGGCAGAAAGGTCATCACGGAACGGATAATCTGTCCGTGAATGGAAATAGGGTTTAACTTTTGGTTCATTTTAATGGGCGTACTCAATTATCATTTCAGAGTGACAATAATGAAAACCGGAATCACTTCACACCCCTATAATTTTGATTTGGATAAGATTCTCAGCGTTTGTAGAGCTGATTTTTCTGAGTCCAACGGTGGAAGTCCGGCGTTTCTACTCCACCCCCTCGCGGAGTGGGAGGAGCTCAAAGTTGGAAAAATCGCTCTAGTCTGCGATTTTTAGCTCAAAGGTGTATCATTATTTTTGAATGCGGTTTTCGCCAAACGTTTCCTAATTCTTTTCCCTACAACCCTATTCGAGCGTTTTTGTCAGTTCTCAAAACGAAGGTCACGGTTTTGGACTAAAAATAGGGAAAGGTCAAATCTCATATAACCCCACATGTGGGGTCATATGAGATACCATTGAAAAGGTCTCCGCGAGAGGATTCAGAATATATATACTTTGTTTGGTATATGACCACTCCCTGATGTTCCAGAGACAAAAACGTTTTTGAGTTTCTGCCTATTCTATTGCCATGTTAGCTCCCAATCTCCTGCTGTGTTAAATTCTGGAGAATTTCAGATTCGTGTTCTCGCGCATATTTCAGACCTGGGGGACCCTAAACCATGAAATATCGCCATTATATGATGTTTAGCATAATTTGTTGTGGTTTCTGCACACGTTCTCGTCATTAAAAAAAGCCGAAAATCCTGAAAAAAGTTCCAAGTCCAAAATCGTGAAATCTGTTTTAAGAATTTCAAAAAACGCTCGAAAAGGGTTGTAGGGAAAAAAATTAGGAAGCGTTTGGCGAAAACCGCATTAAGAAATATTGACCCACCTTTGAGCTAAAAATCGCAGACTAGAGCGATTTTTCCAACTTTGAGCTCCTCCCACTCCGCGAGGGGGTGGAGTAGAAACGCCAGACTTCGACCGTTGGCCTCAGAAAAATCGGCTCTACAAACGCTGAGAATCTTATCCAAATCAAAATTGTGGGTGTGTGAAGTGATTCCGGTTTTCATTATTGACACTCTTCAACTAACTTAGTAAGTTTGCAAAGCTAAATAAATTATTTCGTGAGGAGATTCGTATAGTTTGGTTGAGGCGAGTACACTGAATTTATTCAGGCAAAAATTAATTTATTGTGTGTATTTATTCATTTACCTCTGGCAAGCTTACTGCAAGATTTGGGTGCTCCATTTTTGGAAATTATGTAGGTATGGGAACACACTAAACATGTGTAAAATTCTTATTTATATGTAAGGACGGGTTTATATGTATAATGGTACTAAAAATTTGGTAATTTGTACAAATCAAAAAATTGTGTAATGCATAGATGAAAAATAAATCTTACCCTTTCACTTGACTATATTTTACCAGACCAAAATAATACGAGCTGGGTCTGTGTCATTTCGTGAAGTGACACAAAGGATCGAAAGTATGAGTAAAGTGGCTGGTTGAGCATGTACATACAATTTATGTAACCCATTCCTATTTTTAGTTTTCTGTAATCCGAATTTTCCATAATTCCAGTAAGTTTTGTACACCCAAAGTGTCTAATTTACATTTCAAGAAAGGGTTATTCCTTGAATTAGCATTTTTTTTATAGCAAGTAACTTGCAAGGATTTTATTTGTCATTTACCAAACTGCCTGTCTCTTGATAATCAAACATGTATCAAATCTGGTCTGCAAGAATGAGACTGATTAACACGATTCTAATATGTACCTATAGATAGTTATTTTGGCGTTTATGCATTGCAAAGAATTTCATATTTTCTAATCTAATGGAAATATATGCATACACTAGCGTATAGCCCGGCCAAGGCCGGGTTCTAGGGTTCCAGTGGGGGGGTGTGCCCAAAGCGAAAAATTCGTCATACTATACTTTAAATAATTCCCACTGGAGACTTTGTCATACCACATGCATACATCAGAGTGAGGGTTTGCCCAAGTCATGCTGCATTTTAATTAATCTGGTCACAGTACAATTTGATTTCCCCCTGTCGGAGTAGTTGAATAGCTAATTACTTAAATTCCCGTCGCGTGGGAGTAACTGCATAGCTAACTATTTAAATTCCCACGCTTCACGCTCCCGTTAAGTTCCATAAACCCCGTTAGCTTCTACAATTAACGCCAAGCTATTGACGGATTCGGATTCAGCGTCAAAAATATATCCAAATTGATATGCGACATCACGAATACGCCATATTTGGACACCACGGTCACGGCAAGGTCACGCGGGCCTCGGAGGTCAAAACCATTAACGGCGTTGGATTTAGTGTCAAAAATACATTCGAATTGATATGCGACATCACGAATAAGCCATATTTACCCCCTACGGTCACAGGAAGGTCACGCGGGCCTCGGAGGTCAAAACCATTAACGGCGTTGGATTTAGCGTCAAAAATACATTCGAATTGATATGCGACATCACGAATAAGCCATATTTACCCCCCACGGTCACGGGAAGGTCACAGGGGCCTCGGAGGTCAAAACCATTAACGGCGTTGGATTTAGCGTCAAAAATACATTCGAATTGATATGCCACTCGTTGCAGGTGGAGTGTCTCAAACTAAAATAATTAATTAATAGTGTTTATCAAGATCACTTATCATGATAACCACTATTGATGAGTGATGTGATGTATGTATGTATGTATAATGCACACTCAATTTACTTGCACACTGTTTATATATTAAAACATTTAATTTGAGTTTGATGGCAAGTGTACGTACGCGAAAGTCACGTGCAGGCGAAGTGAGACTCATGCAGAAAATTCATGCATGCAGTTTTTGCTCCGCTTTCCTCTTTGTCTCCTCTACGGGGCAACTTGCATTGAGAGCCACAGGGACTCAGTCAGCGACTTAACACTAACGCTTTATTAGAGTGGATATGTATTTATTTAGGGTTTCTTCATTTCATGGAAAAGCGTATGCAGAATGGAAAGCGTAGCTTAGAAAAGTTGACCTTCTGCGTAAATATTTCTACTCTTCACAAATATCTCGGCAACCTTTTTTCTCCCTTCTACCTTTATTTAGTGCCCTTAAATTTCAGCCAATGCACGTGCACAATATAAGTACCCTGGTTGAAATGTCTGTGCCGAATTCTGCAGGAGTAGCCACAACTCCTATGCATAAATCATTATGCACATAATTTTGTGTAGGTTTATGCACAATTTGACAAACAATCATGCCGACCAACTTATGCAGAAAATTATAAGCATAATTATGCATAGAACTTATGTCGAGTTTATCATCAGAACCAAGAATTGTGCAGTGGGTCGTGTCCACAATTGAATTTGGCGCTTGATTACATGTGTCTCGCATTGCCCAATAATTATCCAAATTACTCGCCCGCTCCACCTATCGGCTTTTTGGGGTACAATGTTGCATTTTTCGCCGCTAGATGGTGATTTTGGCATTTCTTCCCAAAACGTTATGCAAAGGTGTGACAGCGACTAAAACGTTTCAACGCACTGCTAGCACGTTTTTAGGTCACTTCGCGTACCTTTATCGAGAATGGTTGTGTGGAAATTTTGTTCCGCTCTACAGCAAAAAAAAATAACGCATTTGTTTTCAAAAGTATTTGTGTTGTTTATCACGCTGACTTTGAAATTGATGTTCAAAGTATTTCAAGCCAATTAATCGTCAATTTAGGCAATAACCCAGGCGCCAATTTTGGAAAAAGAAATTTCGTTTCGTTTCGGGTTTTCAAGGTGAGTTAAAATAATAAATTGTTTACAAACTATTCTATGGTTTGTTCAAGCATTATCTTTCCGAACAAATTGTGTGAATAGCCGAATTAATCGAATTTTGTAAACTTTTGTTTTGATTATCAAAACTCGCGCTCAAATTTGTAAGTCTCGCATTGCTCCTATTTCCCTCATTTCAGGACGGATAAGGCAAGAATTGAATTCTATCTAAAACTACGATTGTTGTTTACAATTTTTATAAAGATCAAACAAGTGGTATTTACAATAGTTCATATTTTGCAGTGTCGATCGTTCCACAGCACTGCCAACAGCAGTTGTGACTTCCAAATCCTCTGGCTTCTTTCTGCTCCGTCGTAGTCTCCACTAGGTAAGTGATTCATAAATAAATCATCAGCTTTATGATTGTCCCTTTGCATCATACTAAATTTAACTGCATTTATATTATAGGAATTCATAACTCCCTGTGTGTCACCTTAGCCTAATACATGCTTAAGACTAAGGCTAAGCTAAAAGTGAGTATCTGTTCTATGATTATTTTTTTGCTGGGCTAAATATTTTGTTTACAATTTGATACTAACAGCAATCTGTAAATTTAAGGATCGACGACTGTAGCTTGCGCTACACCCTAGGCCGAAGTGGCTTAGTTTCCATTCTCCTCCCCCACATTTTGAGACTTAATTACCAGCCTACGCTCCCCCTGAGGCCAGTCCCTTTCATTTTCATTCTTCGCCCATCTTTGAGGCTTCGGTGATTTTTTAATTGAAAGGCGTCAATCACCTTTGAGACCAACTTTTAGAGGCTTCGGCCAACTTTGAGACCAACTTTTAGAGGCTTCGACCAACTTTGAGACTAACTTTGAGACCAACATTGAGAGGCTTCGGTCATTTATTAATTAATTTCCTAATCTATACAACGGACTGAATTAGTAACAATGAGCAGAAGGAAACAGACCTTCGTTGTAAGAGATGATGCTTCGCAGTCCCAGAATGACATGGGTGCACCATCGCCTAAACGATCAAAAGATGCTGCACGAAAGCGACTAGAGAGAGAAAATGAAAGCGAAGAGCAGACTGCGGCTCGACATCTCACGAACTCCCGAAGTTATGCAAAATCTAGGGAAAACGAAACTGTCCCCGAGACTTTAGCAAGGCTAGAACGGCGGAGAACTAATCGAATTAATGCAGCTGATCGCAGAATACAAGCTACTTGCCGAATGGCATTAATCAACGAAATAGACGAGTCTCAATTTCCCTTACACAATATTGGACAATTTGATGTTATTTGCAATGACTGCAATGCTATTCATTTTGAAAACGAAAGAGCAGGAGATGGAAAATTTACTGTTTGTTGTAATAAGGGTAAAGTAAAATTACCCGAAATTCAGACCAATGATTACATTAAGGGATTGTTGACAGGAACAGACCCTGATTCAAAGCACTTTTTTGATAACATCCGATCCTATAATAGTGCATTTGGTTTTGCATCTGTTGGAGCTCAAATTAGAGCACCTCCAGGTTTCGGCCCGTACTGCTTTAGAATCCATGGTCAAATATACCATAGAACAGGAACATTACATCCTGAAGGGAGTGAACCTAGGAAGTATGCTCAAATTTATATTCTTGATCAAGAACAAGCTACTGCCCAGAGAATGAATCAACCAGCCAACGCAAGTTGTAAAGAGCGCATAATGACAAAATTATTTGATATAATGCAGCACAATGATCTTGCAAAAGCATACAAAATGTTATATGAAGTTGAACAGGAGGAGAAAGATAAGGCAGCTCGCGAAGGACGAGTAGAAAATCAGATTTCGATGGCCATTTTACAAAACCGAAATTCTGATCCAAGGCGATATAATTTCCAACGGAGCAATGAAGTTGCAGTTATTTTTAGCAACACAGATGGAGAACCCCCACTAGAAAGAGATCTATTGGTTCACCTAAGATCAAGAGGACAAAATGTTCATGGAACTAAAAGAATTAGCATTCTCCATAAAAATTTAGATTCGATGACATATCCAATTTTTTATCCTAATGCGGAACAAGGTTGGGGTGAAGATTTGACCCTGATTAATACTGGCAATACGAGAAGAAACAAAGCAAGAGTGGCTGATGAACTTGCAGCCGACTTGGCAATTTTTAATCCTGCTGAAGCCCCTGTAGCAACTAATAAGCGGAAACGTGTAACTTTGAAAATGTATTATTCGTATTTATTCTCGATTAGAAATCAGTTTAGTCCGATTCTAAGCGGCGGAAAACTAACTCAACAATATTTTGTTGATGCATATGTGAAAGCAGAGGCTAACGATTTAAATTACATCAGACACCATCAAGGTGATCTACGAGCTGATTCATATTCATCATTAATAGATCATGTTTCTGAAGCTCATGATGCAATACCTGGAAAAAGAATTATTTTGCCCTCAACATTTGAAGGGAGCCCGAGAAATATGAATCAAAAATACCAAGATGCAATGACTATTGTTCGCAAGTTTGGGAAATTTGTTTGTCACAATGACTTGCAATCCGAAATGGGATGAGATAGTTCAAAATTTAAGAACCGGAGAGCGAGCAGAAAATAGACCCGATTTAGTAGCTAGAGTGTTTAAACTCAAACTGAAAGAACTTCTTGATGATTTGATCGAAAAACAAGTCTTTGGTACAGTTTTGGCTAAAGTGCATGTTATCGAATTTCAGAAACGAGGTTTACCTCATGCTCACATTTTGATTATCTTGAAACTGGAAGATAAACCTAGAACAGCGACGTTGATTGACAAAATTGTTAAAGCAGAAATTCCCAATAAAGATACACATCCACGACTATTTGAGGTTGTGACAAAAAATATGATTCATGGCCCGTGCAATAAGCCAGGATCTAGATCACCATGTTTAATAACTGGACTTAAACCTAAATGTTGTAAAGGATTTCCAAAGCCTTTCCAATCAGAAACACAAAACAATGTCAATGGTTATCCAGCATATCAAAGACGAAATTTAGGTACCGTGGTACTCGACAACCAAACTGAAATTAATAACAACTGGGTTGTCCCTTACAACCCTTATTTAAGTTTGAAATACAATTGTCATGTTAACGTGGAAGTGTGTGCATCTATAAAAAGTGTTAAATACCTCTTTAAATATGCCTACAAAGGACATGATTGTGCTAATGCACAAATAAGTATCGATGAAGTACAGACGCATGTCGATTCAAGATACGTCAGCCCACCTGAAGCGGCCTGGCGAATTTTTAAATTTAAAATGCAAGATCAAAGTCATTATGCAGGATCAAAGCATCAGTCACATTTGATCCTGATGAAATTGACGAAGCAATTCAAAAAGCTGAACATAGAGATTCGACCTTGATGGCTTGGTTCAAGCTAAATCAGACAAAACATGAAGCTCGAAATTTTAAGTATCATGAAATTCCAGAGCATTATGTATTTAATGCAAAATGTCAGTGGGTGATTCGCCAAAGAGGACAAGAAACGACAATTGGTCGAATGTATCCCGTAAATATGAGAGACACTGAAAGGTACTTCTTGAGATTATTACTTTTACACGTAACAGGGGCAACGTCTTTTGATGCCCTCAGAACATTTAATGGACAAATATTTCCGACATTTTATGAAGCCGCATTGGCTAGAGGACTTACTATGAATGAAAGCGTTTGGGATGACACTCTTAACGATGCAGCATATTCCTCTATGCCAAGACAACTCAGAGAGTTATTTGCATATATTTGCGTGTTCGGGGGTTTCGCTGATGCTAGAGATCTCTGGAGTAAGCATAGAGAAAATTTAGTCGAAGACTTTGCTAGAGTTCACGGTCATCCTCCTGGATCCACGTGCGAAGGCTGTGATAATTACACCCTGAGAGATATTCAAGATAATTGATTGGCCATGAACATAAATGTTCCGACTTTCAACTTCCTGATCCGCCTAGAGATATGCTAATAAATATGATTAACTTTGCTGAAATTGAAGTTGAGAGGGAATTAGGGGAACAGCTGAACGCTACCCTCAACAGCGAACAAAGAGCAGCATTTGCTGAGATCGAAACTGCAATGAAATCTGAGGTTGATGGCAGTAAATGCTTCTTTTTAGATGGGCCAGGAGGAAGTGGAAAAACTTATGTTTACAAGACATTGTTGAGTCATGTTAGAGGACAAGGAGAGAATGCCCTACCAGTTGCTTCAACCGGTATTGCTGCAAATCTTTTAAAAGGCGGAAGAACCTACCATTCTCAATACAAGCTTCGTCTGAAAATTGACGAAACTACCGTATCTGGAATAACAATGATGAGTAAAGATGCCGATATAATCAAAAAGGCGAAATTATTGATTTGGGACGAATCAACAATGGCACCTGCTCATGCACTAAATTGTGTTGATCGATTACTTAGAGAGATTATGGAAAAAAATGTTCCTTTTGGAGGGAAAGTTTTGTTATTGGGCGGTGACTTCCGACAAACACTTCCAATTATTTCTCACGGAGACGCAGTTGCAGTAGTACAAGCAAGCATTAAGTTCAGCCCATTGTGGAATAAATTCAAGGTTTTGAAATTAAACAACAATGTTCGATCACTAGATATTGAGTACAGCAATTGGCTCATGAAACTTGGTAATGGAGAACTGAAAAATCAAGATGGTTTGAACGAAAATTTGATTGAAATTCCTGAAAGCATGTTAACCTCCGAAAATATAATTAAAGATATTTTTGGCGAAACTCTGACTCCAGACAACGTAGAACAATTCTCACAAAGAGCAATATTATGCCCAACCAATGACGAGGTGGATAATATTAATGAAAAAATCTTGGAGATATTGGAAGGCGAGGCAAAGACATACATAAGCTCTGATTCGTTGGTTACTGACGAAGACTCTGACAGAAACGATTATCCTGTAGAATTTTTGAATAGCTTAAAACCCTCAGGTTCGGCACCGCATGAATTAAATTTAAAGAAAGGCGCTTTGATTATGTTATTGAGGAATTTGAATACAAAACGTGGTTTGTGCAATGGAACTCGATTGAAAATAATTGATCTGAAACCAAATTTGATTATTGCAAAAGTGCTTACAGGATCGGCAGAAGGAAACGTTGTATTTATACCACGAATTGATCTTATTACTGATTCCGATCTGCCTTTCCAGCTGAAGAGAAGACAGTTTCCGGTGAAGCTTGCCTTTGCTATGACTATAAATAAATCACAAGGACAGACTATGGACAAAGTAGGGATTTATTTACCAACTCCAGTGTTTGGTCATGGACAATTTTATGTTGCTTTCTCTCGAGTCCGAAGATCGTGTGATGTGAAAGTACACGTAGTGACAACTTTAGAGCATGGGAAGCTGTTACCAGATTCGAATAAAATATTTACAAGAAATGTAGTATACAAAGATATCCTATTCCGATGAGTTGTCCGATAGGCGGAGCCACAAGCTAGAATAAAAAACTAAATAAAAAATTAATTCTGGATAGTTTAGCGACAATTTATTTAATATTCATCGGAAACAGCAGATACATAAAAATTAAATCTACTCCAAGAACACGCTAACAATGGATGCTGCTAATTATATTTGAAATTTTAATAACTTCGATTGAAATTATGAGTCGATTGTGGGGCGATTAAAAAAGTTGCCCAGGGTAGAAAAGGGCGAATGAAAATGATGCGAAGTTGAAGTATCAATTGTAACTTATTAGTTCGGACTGGGTTTTAATCCATGTAATCTGATGGATAAACGAAGGGGGAAAGCATAATATTAGACAACTTGGACTGAATTAATTGTGTAGAAAGTTGCAACAATGAATCCAATAATTACACTGCCCGAATTTTGGCTGATGAGGGGAAAGTTGGAGAGGAAGGGTTGCGTGGAGATTTATGATTTGATATTTTCTCCAGTAACGCCTTCAATCCATTTCATTGGGCTCTATATTCGAGGGCGGACCGTGTGTGGAATCCGATTGGAGACTATTAACAATAATGCATATGCCAAAGCCGAATCAAATGATCTTAATATCTTAATGAACACGGGAAAATATGGCAAAATATAGGATGGAGGCCTGTGCAATATGTAGGAGGATTGTCAGGATGCAATGGTGATTGTGCCAAAATTTGCAAAATGAGATCTTTTATACTATATAATATGTAACCCAAAATGATGTCGAAGATAAATGCTCTATTTGGTGAAATAAATCAAAATGTACGTTCTATTAATTTTATGCACCGTAAGCAGATGTAATTGTTTCATGTAATTATGATTAATGAATTAAAATATTAAACAAACAGAGGGAATTTTAAATATTAAATAACTTTATTTATAAGTTTATCTTAAAGAAAACAACTGAACGGATTAGCGCATATATATAAATATATAATTCGAATTAATTAATTACAATAATTACTATTAAGTACGTGAGGCAGCAGACGGAATGGAACATCGATTAGATATAACAGGAATACGTCAGATTTTGGAAGAAACCAAGAAGATGAGGCGACGTCGTTTAGCTGAAATATAAAAAAACCATTGTTACGGATGTGATCGACAAATTATTACAACAATTTGTGAAAAATTTCTATAAAAATTTGCACAACAATAAAAGTGGTCAAAGGGAAGGAGAAATAAGTATGATCACTATTTCTGATTGACACAAATCAAAACGACGCACCTTTTAATAAGCCGCTTAACTATTCCTTCAGCCATCTTATCAACAACAACATTGATTTTTTGGTCCTGTTGTTGTTTGTATTCAGCTGCAAACGGATTGTTCGTCGTCTTGGTGTACCCCATCACTTGCACTGCAAATTCAGATTAAATAAAATTAATTACATTGGTTAATAAAGCATTGCAAACAATAACTAATATTAGCATTCTAGCATTGCAAATATTATAAACAATAATAATTAAATTTCGTTACATATTGGAGTTACAAATTGTTTTCTTACCATTCTGAGTACGGATGTATGACATCAAAGGCGTCCCTGCATTCGTGACGCCTACGATAACCTGTTTAAAGCTGGGGGCCAACTCAACTTTGAATACTCCTAAGAGATAATTTAAGTATTAGAAGGTTAATAATAATAATCATTAATTCATAAGCTTAATCATTTTTGTATTACTAACCGTTTTCTTCATCAAGTGGAAAGAGAAATTTGATGGGCCGCACACAAATGGGACATGTGGGTTGTACTGGCACCAATTTCTTGAATTCGTTCTCCCCTTTTTGGGTGCGGCAGTGCTCCACGATGCAAGCGAAGTGGAAGGGGTGGGAACAGGTTTGATTGGTGCTTGATCCACTAGAATACAGGTTTCCGATCTTGAGAGGACCAAGGCAGATCATGCAGCTGTCTTCTTTCGAAATAGCTGGAGCTGTGAAGTTAATGTCATAATAAAATGTTAATTCAGTAATAAAACGGAAATTAATAATAAAATAAATAAATAGGGAATAATCAATAGAATAAGTAGGAATTAATAGAAGCAATAGAACAATAAAAAAACATTTAAGACTTTAATTACAAATTCGCATTATCAGTGAAAGCACTCAAATATCTTATTTAATACTCAAGTATTTAACCAACCAAACCAAGTTCCAGTATTATCTGCGTGAACCCTCTTTAAGAAATTACATATTGAATTTAAAAGACTGAAATTCAAAAATCCAATCACACCATCCGTATCCAAGAATTCCAAACTATCCATTTAAAAATTTATTCATCAATTTGCCTCTTTTAAAAATGCAAAGGTTAAAACAAAATATAAATAAAACTTACCCATTTCTCTCCAAAAACAATGTTGATGATTAGGATAAAATATTTTACGCGAGCGAGCTCTTCATTCGGGGAGATCTGACATGGGAATGAGAGCAAAACGTGTTGAAACGCCAGCTACACAGACTCCCAGCAGAGCAGTCAGATCGAACCTGGATAGGAATATTGAAGTCTGGCGTAGTACTGCGTTTGCGTGACGTTTGGTTCTGATAAATCTTTGATGGAACTTACAAGCACGAATGAATTATGGGGAGCCACCACCGAGAATGTATTTTTTTATTTTGATTAGCCCAACTTATCTGTAGTTTTAATAAAAATTTCAAAACGGTTACAATATAAGGTGTTTGCTCCCATTCTAATGTAGAGTTGAGATAATAAATGTTCAAATGCAATTGAATTGAATAAAATACTAAACTGTGTGAAATGTTCTAAGTACCAGACGTTATGTATCCTGAGTCTTCTTGCAAAGATAAACGTGTTTTATTGTTTTATTCCTCAGTATTGCTGCAATATCGTAAATGGGATGAATAAATTAATAAATTACGAATTTGAGCAACTAAGTAATTAACGAATTAAGCATATTAAATCACTGATGAACTATAGCCGATATGAATATTTAATTAATTTTAATGTCAGACTGAATTATTTAATGAAATAGAATTATTATTATTTAATAGAATGAATTATTATTTTATGTTTGAATAAAAAATGTAACTCCTGTTTGCAGTGGAAATGAAATTTTGCATGTATGTATCATAATTATAGGCACATTTATGAAAATATGATTTAACAATGCTAGCATCTGAGCACAATATGAAGATTAGTCTCTGTTAAATACAACTCAATTTTTTATCTGAATTACTTAAATGAGATTAATGAGGCATCGTCAATTAAATTACGGCTTATTAGTTTAGAATTCAAATTGCAACAACTAAAAATAATATTTTGGTTTGCATAAGATAATCTTAATTAAATCATGATAATTCTAAGCACTATAATGGAATAGTTTAAACTAATTCTTGAAATGAGATTATGATTGAAAAAGCTTTAAATAGTTTTATTGCAGTATGAACTGACTTTATTTCATGAATTATTACTTAAAAATTTACATAAAATGTATACTTTAAAATAACAACTGTTATAATTGTAAATCTTTTATACGATTAAATTAAAGTTGGTATATATAAAAGATAACTGTAATGTTGGGCTTATGAAGTCGATCGTTAATAGTACAAAAGTTGTGATCTTAAGATGAATTATTTTAATGGAAATAATTAAACTATAAGAGTGAATTTAAATGCAAAATTATTAAATATAATTGACAAATTAGTGCGTCCCTTTCACTGATCCATGATCTTCTGCTGACTCTTCTATTTTCCTTGCTGTCTCCGTTTCTGCGACTTTCTTCCATTCATCCGCTTTTCCATCTACTACTTTTTCCTCTCCTGTTCCTTCTCCTGTTTTTTCATTTTCGCCTACCTTCTCATCTGTGTCCATTAGGGCGGGATTATTTTCTGAAACAGCAGCAGCAGCAGCCAGCAAAACTTCCTCTTCTCTGGCAGCTTTCTCAGCCTTCCACAGAAGAAAGTCTGGATCTTGCAACTCCATCCGAGCTTTCTTGACTTCGGCCTCCAATCGGTTCTGCTCAATTTTCTCTAAGCGCCGTTTTCTGTTTATTCCAGCAGTGTTGGAGGTACCACACGATTGGCAAAAGCTCATAAAGCCTAAATTTAAAAACAACTTATAAACACGTACCTAGAAAAATTAATTGTTCAATAAAACTTGCTGACTTACTGTGGATGAAAGAATCACAAATTCGGCATCTCCCCCATTTGCTGTTCGCATCAAAGCCATCACGCAACATCATCGGCGCCTTGCATGCTTTGTACGGGCATTTGTCTAAAATTAGAAATTCAATGCAACATTGTTTAACTATGAAATAGAAATTTGGTTAATGATACAAGCAGGTTGGAATTTACCTAGACGCTCCTTGGCCTGCCTGTAGATGACCAATCCACATTCAACACAGTGTCGATCATGAGGGCCCTTCAATTCCCTTGGGGCTTTGGGGTCGAAAATTCCTACGGCACCAGGTGCGAACGTTCCCAGGGATTCAAAAGACATTTTCTGCTAAATAAATTACAGCAATATTTTATTTGGTTTATTCATAACTAATAAACAGGTTAATACTATAACTAATAAAGTGCGGCAAAGCACGATACATAAGTAGCGCAATAATGCTTAGAATGCATCACAATATAAAGCAAATAATTAACCGATTCAAATTTTAATAATGCCTAAAAACGAATTAATTAAAAACAAATTAATTATCTCTAATTGACCACATGCGCTATACTGCAACATGTAGACCACACCACAAAACATGTTCATGCAAATCGCCTTAAAAATGGCGAAAAATACCTGGATTTCATTCATAGATTAATTTGCGCTATAAATCTCAATTTTCCCCCATCACACTGTGACCATACCCCCTGCCGCCGAGGGGGTGTGGTCCAAAAGTTTACGGGATCCTCCCCCTGGGGTCATATGTATGATGCCGCAAACCGATTTCGATTATCTTAATGCGTACTCGAGTTTTAGTGTTGACAGACGGACAGACAGACTAACTAACCGATCGCATAAAGTAGCTTGCGCTACTTAATAAATAGGTCACTATTATGGACTAACTGTTTGTTCAAAAAATTGAGACAAAAGTCCTTAAATTTTTCTAAATGAAATTTTATTTAGTGCTGTGCTAACAAACTCTGCCAGATAACCTCACAGTTTTTTGTCCGTATTTGTTCCTAATGAACGTAATTATGAAATATTGTATTAGTAAGGAATTACCTGTTCCAATGAAGTAAAACTCGGAGCTGATCACTAGAATTGCGTCGTACACTAGGATGCAATATAATCCCTGAGTTATAAAATTTAAGGAGATCCAACTTCGTCTGAGTTTAGTCGTCGACTGTACGGAGTTGGCAAAAGCTTACAGGCTTATATACACGTGTTGATCTATAAACGTTTCTTGAATGAAATTGGCATACGTAAACGTTTGCCTATGGCTGGCATACGTAAACGTTTGCCTATGGCTGGCATACGTAAACAGGATTGGACAAGTTTGGAAATGTTCGACCTGACTATAGTACAGGTTTGAATTTAGCGGCCGGGTTCACATTGCCCCATTTTCACAAAGTGCTCAATTTAGTGCCACCTATCGATATTTGAAGAATTTATGTTGTGCAATTGTCGTCTAACATCAGTAAAATTATAAAAGTAAAATTATAAATCGAATATTCACTACTTTTCATTTGATGGAGCTATTGTAAATGTCAGATTTAAAGAAATCGGACTGCTTAAATTTTTTGGAGTACGCCCACCACCACCACCGTGTGAATATGCAGATAGTGCCGTATGCACTGGCCCCTATTCCATTCTTTATTTCGCACAAACCACATTTATTCCCTTCAGTTTACGGCCCTTATTTTGTCTCATAAAAAATCTCACCAGTACCCTGCCGAAGGGTCGCACGCGGCCCAGTTTTAAATTTGAACCCGATTTCCTTAGATCTGACATTTACAATAGAATGTAAAAATGAGAATTGTGAGTAAATCCGAAGGCATAGTAGAAGGGACAGACGAAATCCCTAAGGCAATATTAAATTTTAGAGTTATATAGGCTGTTAAAACATCGACTCCATACATGGTTGCAAAATAAGCTCTGCATTGGGAGCCCGCTGGGCGGGCTTTGAGACTAGTCATAACAAGAATTGTGCAAAGTTGTGTGTGTGTTACCTTTTGAACCAAGCGCTTCACTCGATGACGTGTATCACATTGCCCCCAAATTTATTTAAATTACCGGCCAACGCCAGCTAGCGGCACTTTCAGGTACCATGTTGCACTTTTTGCCGCCAGAGGGCGTTTTTCGCAGAAAGTGTCAAAACGTTCTCAACCCGTTCTCAAAACGTTCTCAAAGCATTTCACTTGATGACGTGTATCATACTGCCCCATCTTTATTAAATTTGCAGGCCAACGTTACCTAGCGGAACTTTCAGGTACCAGGTTGCTTTTTTGCCACTAGAGGGCGTTTCCGCTGAAAGTATACAAATGTGTTTCCAAAACGTTGTCGACCACTAGATCAAATAACCACAGCTGCAATTGGATGAGGCTTGGCTTTTGATGAGCTAACACATCAGAACCAAGAATTGTGAAGTGGTGTGTGTGTGTGTGTGTGTGTGTGTGTGTGTGTGTGTGTGTGTGTGTGTGTGTGTGTATGTGTGTGTGTGTTACCAGTTGAACTTGGCGCTTGATTACACACGTGTCTCACATTGTCCAAGCTAACGTCACCTAGCGGCAGTTCGAGCACTATGTTGCATTTTTCGTTTCTAGAGGGCGTTTTTCGCCAAAATGTCAAAACGCTCCAAAAACGTTGACGAACACGAGAAAAACGAAACACAGCCTTTAGATCTGCCGAGACTTGATCACATGAACGGGCTCACCCCCTAGACTTGACATTCGACCTGTGACCTGGCACACCCAGTACATTTGACCTGTAACCTGGGCACACCCACTAGACTTGACATTTGACCTGTGATCTGGGCACACCCACTACACTTGACATTTGACCTGCGACCTTGGACAGCCCCTGGACTTGACCTGTGCACACCCCCTGGACTTGATATTTGACTTTCGACCTGCGTACATCCCCTAAAGTTGACACTTAGCGGAGTTGACACTTGACCTGTGACCTGGGCACACCCATTATACTTGACCTCTGTGCCCCACGGTATATTTAACACTTTGCCAGTTACCTGTGCCTTACTAATTCTGATTACCTACCAGCGCCACCCATCGGATGTTATCTGTTTTTCAGTGCTAGAGGGCGGGCTTATGCTTTAAGTGCCTAAACGTTTTTAAAACGTTAGAACAATAGCACACTTTAGAGTCGTGACTGATCGTTTTTCATGGTCAACCCATACAGTCGTAACTGAACGTTGTTCGTGGTCACACCCTTTAGAGTCGTGACTGAACGTTTTTCGTGGTCACACCCTGTACAGTCATGACAGAACGTTTTTCGTGGTCACACCCTGTACAGTCATGACAGAACGTTTTTCGTTGTCACACCCTTTAGAGTGGTGACTGAACGTTTTTCGTGGTCAAACCCTTTAGAGTCGTGACTGAACGTTTTTCTTCGTCACACCCTTTAGAGTCGTGACTGAACGTTTTTCTTCGTCGCACCCTTTAGAGTCGTGACTGAACGTTTTTCTTCGTCACACCCTCTAGAGTCGTGACTGAACGTTTTTCTTCGTCACACCCTTTAGAGTCGTGACTGAACGTTTTTCTTCGTCGCACCCTTTAGAGTCGTGACTGAACGTTTTTCGTGGTCAAACCCTCTAGAGTCGTGACTGAACCTTTTCTTCGTCACACCCTTTAGAGTCGTGACTGAACGTTTTTCGTGGTCACACCCAAAGAGTCGTGACGGAACGTTTTTCTTCGTCACACCCTTTAGAGCCGTGACTGAACGTTTTTCTTCGTCACACCCTGTAGAGTTGTGACGGCACTTTTTTCGTGGTGACACCAGAGTTAGAATCGTGACGTAACGAACTCTGTTATTAAACATCGTGCTATACAACGTGACAATCATGTCCACGCTCCTTTGCTCTGTATAAATGTACGTAAATGTGTAACAGTTATTCAGAAGACATTTGTATCGCTAAACTATATTAAATCGTGTAGCTTAGAGCCCGCATTGCGGGCTTAAGAGACTAGTTATGCAGAAATATGTACCCATAATTGTACACGTGTCTCATAGCGCGTAACAAGACGGCATGGGTGTATTCATTTCATTGAATGATTTCGCATTTCACTTTTAAATCCCTCTTTTATCCAAACTTTTCGATATTTTCATAGCAAATTTAAAAAGGATCAGTTATTTCTTCGTCGAGTGGGTTAATAAACCTAACACGGTGCTAGAACTGGGTTGACGGAACATTAAGATCCAAGAGAAAAAACCTCACTGGAAGGCAGCAGAATAACTCGCAGTCTGCGCCGCAGATACAGTGATTACCAAGATAAGTCCCACATTTAATATTTTCTGTGGGCCACTAATTAACAAAATCTATATTTTTCGAACTTGTAGATTGCGTGTTAAAAAGGGAGGAGTAGAAAATCCTCCAGATAACTGCACTAGAGCCGATGCTAAATTGTGAATCAAGAAGTCACTATCCGAGAAGTATCGCAAGTCACGCCGTAGAACTGGTGTTAATATTATTTAAAATAATTATATACTTATATTTATTACAAGTAAAAATAAATATGAATTTTAATTGTACTTGATGAATTGTAATTTATGCTTCAATTAGGGCATGATTTAAAATGCACAAATTGTCTGCATAAACCCGTCACAATAAATTGTGCATAAACCTTTCAACACAAATTATGCATAATATATTCTGCATAAAATAGATATGCATAAACACTTCTGCACAAAATTGGGCCAATTTTAGGCACGTTTTTTCTGCAGGATTCGGCTTAACATTTCCTGCAGAAAACGGCCAATAATTTCAACCAGGGTACTGGACACAATTTAATAGAGATATGCACACAGCCTACTTCTATGCATATCCATATAGTACTGGCACTGTACATTTTATATGTACACTGTATGTATAAAAATATGTGAGTGCAATTCGTCTCAAATTAGTAGACCACTTACTTTTTCTATCTGTCGATTACTTAAAACACATCGCCATTGAATCGCCTACTTTCTTCATATGTAACATGCATACATTAATTTAAAAAATCCAAAATTATTATCCAATAGCATAATTTTTCTTGCGTTTTGCTCACCAATTCTAATCACCCGTACCATTTGTAGCTTAGTGTGCTAAACTAATAATACTTATTCATGTGTTGACGAAGTTTGTTCATTCTTAAGTAAATACTTAACTGAATAAATATGTATGTATATATGTAGGTGTCATGATTTTAATAAGGCGTCCGAAAAGGTGAGTGGCCTAATAACTGGAAGCGGACTATACCTTCTTTAACAACACTTTTGTGTTTCATGTTCACCTTCACCTTCCAGTAATATGTATGCCGAAGGGTACTTATTCTCTGGGCAGGCAACCAGATTACTCTGTAGAAAAGAATCCTACCTTTTTCTTTCCTTAGTTCATTCCTTTCAAGTCCTGGCCTCCACTTTGACAAGGACACACAAACACATCATCTTCCACCATGGCTAAAATTCCCCCATTTTTATCCCTCATTCTGCTACTTTGTATGCCCACGTCCCCCCAATTGACATCCGCCTGCACCTGTACATTCTTTAAAGAGTCGTCAACCTCAATATTCCAGGAAGAGCCATCAACCACATTAAGGTGTTCAGGCTGCTCCGAAATCCCGACTTATCACGACCCCAGGTCCATCACCCATCTAGACCTTAGTTCCGGCTCCAACAAGCTTACCAACAAGCTCATCTCGAACACCTTCATCAATAAAGGTTTCTTTAATTTGAAACATATTAACCTGTCCAACACGGGAATTGTGGACATCGATATGGACGCATTTCTTGGAATAAAGGAGTTCGGAGAGGTGACCCTTGACCTTAGCTATAATTCGATATCTTCCATCATTATGTCACGTTTTACGAACCCGAAGATTTTGAATTTGCGGGGAAATCCGATAAAAAATTTGGAGTTGGGCTGGTTTGCGCCAGCGTTATCGGACCTGGACTTGAGTAATTGTTCCCTGAACAAAATTCCAACTGGGGCCTCATTCACTAAGAAGTATTTAGACCGGTTAAACCTGGATTCAAACCGGTTAACGAGTCTGCCCTGGACGGAACTACGGGATAATAATTTTCTGATGGAACTCTCATTGAAAGATAATCCTTGGCGGTGTGATTGTCATATGGACTTTTTGCGGGAATACTTACTTAACATGAGAGGCTTCGATGTTTCGAGTGATGTGGTTTGTGCATCACCGCCTGAAATGGAAGGGAAGAAGCTGTCCTTAATTCCAAGGGGGGAATTATCTTGTCCCCTCGAGAATAAGAGACTGATTGGAGACGTGAGTAAGCATAAGATTATGCTTGGGTGTTTAACGGAGGGTGTACCAGAACCGAAAATCGAGTGGCATCAGGGCACACTTCGTAGAGAGGATCTATTAGTAAGGTAAGTATGCAAATATACAATTATAGATGTGATTGAAAAAAATAATAAACCGTCGTAAACGCACATAAGGAAGTAATGCACAAATTTTTGAGATAGGACTTAGGCAATGCTCAGATTTGTGCCATAATGCATGCTCAACGATATTTACATACTTACATATGTATGCATAATACGAATCATATTTTTCAAATTTCAATTTATTGGACTTTTTTAATTGTTTAGTCAACCCGGCATATCAATTTATAACGTGCCGTTACCCCTTCCGAAACGGGACAACTTTACCGATACAAATGGGAAAGTGTGCTGGTGATCTCGGCAAACAATTCAGCTTACGAGGGCGTTTGGCATTTTTGGTGTACGGCAAAAAGTGCGCATGGTATTGCGACACGTGAGCTTACTCTGACTCGTCCGACTCCGACCCCTCAGCCGTTACCAAGACAACAACCAGTGTACATTCGCACAACAACGGAGCCGGTGGAAATCACGACTGAGGAGACGACTGTATCACAAATTCAACCACAACTGATACGAGAAGCTAAAAACGGGTCATTTTCGAAAATTGTTGTCCAGGATCCACCTCAGACGACTATTACTGACGACACGTCAATTTATCCCATCTTGCTAGTAATTGGCACCTTAGGTCTAATAATTTTGATCTTCTTGGTCGCCTTGATCGTCATTGGGACACGATTGATGCGGAAACTCAACCACCTTGTAAGTGCTAACTTTTTGTATTTATGAATAATAAATTTTCTTTTAAAATATGAACACTACTAAAATTTAGATGCGATTGCGTAACGGTTAATTTTTAGATAGAGCACAACAAGACGCATTGAAACAATCAAATTTATGCGAATTCAACCGACCTCTTAAGACGTGTACCCATGCCACCTCCAAGTTATCGGAGCCGATTGGGAGAAAGTTTTTATGAAAATTCGTATGCTACATTTTCCAAGAAGTATTGAAGCAATATTATTACATACATAAATATATGAAATGTTTCCCAGCCTATTTAAATATGTGTGTGTTTCTGAATTGTTTATTAAAATAGGATCCGATACATTACACATGATTTATGGCATGCATTATGTTGAGTAATCGTAGCGTCTTTTTTCCCCAAGTCTGTTATAACAATCATATAATTTAAAAATTTGACTAGACAAAGTTACAATGTGACCAAGTATGTACATGAATTGGGCTAAGCTAATTGCTATTTATTCAATAACGATATACCTAAGTAATCCAGAATGTATTAAATATTTCAATATATGTATGTATTTATTCAAATGATCTACGTAAATTAGCAGGCTTCATTTTTAATGTATGTATTTAAATTTAATAAAAGTTGAAAGTGCAGTTTGTGCAAGGATTTATGCGGATTTGGAACTTATATTTTGAATGTAGTTCTTCAAGTAAAATTATGTTTGCGGTAAATTAAGCGTTTACAGTATCTGCATAAGTGCACAATGCGGCGGCCTAATGGTACAAAGGAAATCAAATCAAATCCACAATGATTTTTTTTAATTTGTGCATGTTTGGCGAGTTGGGGGCTTACGCGCTACATTGCAAAAGTTTAGAGTCGCCACACCCCCTGGGAAGGAGTTGACCCCACTGAGGGGGTGTGGCTCTTAAACTTATTGAAATCGACAGATCTTTGATTGAGCCCTGATCAAAATTAATATATCATTGATCTATCTACTGCACTCCAGGACAAAGTTACAGTCTTCCAAACATCAAAATTTTGAGTTCTGCACCGACTTTGCGACCATGTCGCGCACAACGCGACCCACTTTAGGAGTACTAGGATGTCCTATCCTAAGTAGTTCCTGTTATAGGATCATGCTCAAAAAGAAAATTGACCGGGTCTCATCTAGTTGAACAACAGGAATTTTTTGAAAATCGTCAAAATATAGGCTAGATCTGCACACTAAATAATATTTTATACCATTTAAATCACAACTATCTAGTGTTTCGTTTACACCTTGTGGGGATCTATCACAATGTGGGGTAAAATGTTATCACAATTTGGTGAAGTCATGTGGGCTCCCCGTTTTGCTCAGAGTGTATATTTACATATTATGCCTACGCTTTTATATTTCACCTTCACCTTCCAGGAATGAAGGGTATTTATTCCCAGGGAGATTACTCTGCACAAAAAGAATTCTACCTTTTTTATCTTCCTTAGTTCATTCCTTCTTCCAGTCCAGGCCTCCACTTTGACAAGGACAGACGTACAGATCCATTTCCACCATGGCTAAAATCTCCCCACTTTTATACCTTTTTCTCCTCTCTATCTCCACGTCCCTCCAATTGACTTCCGCCTGCACATGCACATTTTTCCAAAGCCCGTCAACATTAAGATGTTCAAACTGCACGGAAATCCCGAGTTATCACGACCCCAGATCAATCACCCATCTCGACCTCAGTTCCGGTTCCAACACGCTCACCAACGCGCTCACCTCTAACACATTCATCAATAAAGGTTTCTTCACCTTGAAACATATTAATTTGTCCCACACGGAAATTGGGGACATCGACATGGACGCCTTTCTCGGTATAAAGGAGTTGAGAGAAGTGACCCTTGACCTCTCCTATAATTCGATATCGTTCCTCCGTATGACACGTTTCACCAACCCGAAGGTTTTGAACCTACGGGGGAATCCGATCGAAAGCTTAGATTTGGGCTGGCTTGCGACCGAGTTATCCGAGCTGGATTTGAGTAATTGTTCGCTGACCAAAATTCCACCTGGGGCCCCATTCATTAACAGTCATTTAGCCCGGATAAACCTGGATTCTAACAGATTAACGAGTTTGCCCTGGACAGAAATACGAAATATGAATTTTTTGAAGGAACTCTCATTGAAAGATAACCCGTGGCGGTGTGACTGTCAAATGTACTTTTTGCGAGAATATTTACTCAACAGGAGAGGCCTGGATATTTCGAGTGAAGTGGTTTGTGCGTCACCACCGGAATTGAAGGGAAGGAGACTTTCCTCCATTCCGATGGGGGAATTGTATTGCCCCCTAGAGAATAAGGGACTTATCGGAGACGTGAGTGAGGATATGGTTCGACTTCAATGTTTAACGGAGGGTTTGAAAGAACCGGAAGTCGAGTGGCATCAGGGCACACTTGGTAGAGAGGATTTATTAGTGAGGTATGTCCAACTATTTGTAAATATTTGATTAAATTGGATTATAAATAAGTGTATCCTCGTTTGCGGTGAACAAATGAGCATTGCCTCCAGTCCTATGTCCCAACCAAATTTATTACACTCGCAAAGAAGTTCAAAAACCAAGTTTTTCAGGGAAGAACACATTACTCAGTTTTGTTAAAACGTTAGAATATTTGTTATAAACACTTACTTAAATATGCAACAATTTATTAAATAGTAATTAATTTTTTTTAATTTCTTGAAATACTGAGTTTTTGGACCCTTGTTTCCCAATGCCAATTAACAGGGTTTGGATATGTTGCTATGTAAAATTAGATATATTCATTTCTGCATTGCAAATGATTTGGAAATAATGCAATGCCCATCTTTTGGATTTGTGGCCAAATGCATGTTCAACGCTATGTATGTACATAATATGAATCGTATTTTCCAAGTTTTGAATTTTTTTCGGGCTTGTTTATTTTTTAGTCAACCTGGCATATCCATTTATAACGTTCCCTTACCAACTCCCGAGAACTACCGACAACTTCACCGATTCAGATGGGAAAGCGTGTTGGAGATCTCGGCAAACAATTCGGCTTACGAGGGCCCTTGGCAGTTTTGGTGTACGGCAAAAAATATGTATGGTATTAGAAGCCGGGAACTTTCCCTTACTCGTCCGACCCCGACTGCTCAGCCGTTACCACGACAACCAGTCTACATTCGCTCGACGCCCGCACCGAAAGAAATCGTGACCCAGTAGACGACAGGTTTAAATTTTTTTAGATTTGAATTTGTTAAATGCTGAAACCTTAGTTATTGCAAGGATTTACATATGTAGATTTAGGGTTTAATGCCGGTTTTTAATTCCTCGACGGTAATTACTTTTGCGGTAAATTATTTGTCGCTTTACAGTACCATCTTCATCCTCACCAAGTCAACCACCTATGACATCATACGCTAAAAACGGGTCATTTCTAAAAATTGCTGATGAGGATACGCCGATCGTGACGTCAACGATTTTACCGATAACGGGCCCCAGTACTAGTTTTGAAGACTTTTTTCTGCAGATCTTCATACTAGTTTGCACCTTAGGTGTGATAATTCTGATCTTCTTGGTCGTCTTAATCGTCCTTTCGGTCCGATTGAGGAGGAAACTCGACCGTGTGGTAAGTGTTAACTTGTTTAAATAATTGATTACATTTTTGAATAAAATTGAGACGTGATTGGGGTACGATTCCTTGTTTGATTAGGTTGAGGAATTTAAGAGTAATGGAGTCAATCAAATTTATAGAAATTCACGTGACATGTTGCGGGGTGTGCCGGTTAGATCAGCTAGGTACGCGGAAAGCCTGGAAGGCTGAGCTAGCAAACCTAGCTAGCTAGGCTAGATAGAACATAGGTAGCTAGGATAGCTAGAACCTAGGTAGCTAGGGTAGCTAGGCTAGATAGAACCTAGGTAGAACTTCTAGCTAGCTAACCTAGGTAGCTCTGCTAGCTAGCAAGGCTACCTAGGTTAGCTAGCTAGAAGTGCTACCTAGGTTCTATCTAGCCTAGCCAGCTAGGTTAGCTACCCTAGCTACCTAGGTTCTATCTAGTCTAGCTACCCTAGCTACCTAGGTTCTAGCTACCCTAGCTACCTATGTTCTATCTAGCCTAGCTAGCTAGGTTTGCTAGCTCAGCCTTCCAGGCTTTCCGCGTACCTAGCTGATCTAACCTAACCTGCTCGCTTCGCTCGCTAATTACGAACGATACCCCAATATGAAATAGAATCTCACTTTGCCCCAAGGTATCTCACGTTGCCCCATAAAAATTGTGGGGATGGATGGGGGTGGGGGTGGATGAGGGTGGGGGTGGGGGTGGATGGGGGTGGGGGTGGATTTGATGGGGGTGGGGGTAGATTTGGGTGGGGGTGGGGGTGGTTTTATAAATGCCGCTTGTTCTGTGTACATATACATAAAGATTTCCACTCACAAATATCTCCACTACCTTTTTCTCTCTTAAATACTACCTTTATATATTCAGGGTCCTTGAATTAGAGCCTATGGGCATGCACAATATATATCAGGGCAGCAGCTGGATGACTTCGTATTTGTGGAGGAAACCTATCTTTTTTCCATTCCTCCTCTCCACTTTGACAAGGACGGACACACATCCGTTTTTCTCACCATGTCTAAAATTTCCTCATTTTTACCCCTATTCCTCCTCCTGTCCAGCTCCACGTCCCCTCAATTGACGTCCGCCTGCACGTGTACTGTGCTAAAAGAGTTGTCAACCTCAATCCTCCGCCCAGAGCCTGATCTCACATTGAAGTGTTCAAACTGCACGAAAATCCCGACTTATCACGATCCCAGATCCATCACTCATCTCGACCTCAGTTCCGGCTCCAACAAGCTCACCGACAAGCTCATTTCGAACACCTTCATCAATAAAGGTTTCTTTAACTTGAAGCATATCAATTTGTCCAACTCGGGAATTGGGGACATCGACATGGATGCGTTTCTCGGTATAAACGACTTCAGAGAGGTGACCCTTGACCTCAGCCATAATTCCATATCGTCCATCCGTATGACACGTTTAACGAACCCGAAAGTCTTGAACCTACGGGGTAATCCAATAAAAAAGTTGAAATTGGGCTGGTTTGGCGAGTTATCAGTTTTAGATTTGAGTAATTGTTCGATGAAGGAAATTCCGTCAGGGGCCCCGTTCGCTGACACGTTTTTAACCCGGATAAACTTGGATTCAAACCGGTTAACGAGTTTGCGCTGGACAGAATTGCGGGATAATGGGTTATTGAGGCACGTTTCTTTGAAAGATAATCCTTGGCGGTGTGACTGTCATATGGAGTTTTTGAGGGAATATTTACTCAATAAGAGAGCCCTGGATGTTTCGTGTGATGTGGTTTGTGCGACACCGCCGGAAATGGAGGGAAGGAAGCTGTCCTCAATTCCAAGGGGGGAATTGCCTTGTCCCCTGGAGAGTAAGGGACTGATTGGAGACGCGAGTGAGGAAAAGGTTAGACTTCGATGTTTAACGGAGGGTGTGCCAGAACCGAAAATCGAGTGGTATCAGGGCACCCTTCGTGTGGAGGATTTATTAGTGAGGTTTATTAGTGAGAAATTTGCGTGTATTGTATTAAATTGAAGTGTACATTAATCGTTGCTGTATGTGCATTAGGCCACAAATGCAATGTAAAGGAATTGCATCAAGTTCTGTCTCCAAACCAAAATCTTAGTTTTCATTTTATTCGGAGAGGAGTCCAGAAACACGGTTTTTCAGGAAATCAAAAAACCTAAATATCTACGTAGCTCATTTTCAACGTTGGGAGCCTAATATCAGCTGAACAAAGAATGCATAGACAGTTTTAATGATTAACAATTTACAACTAAATAAACCCTTGCCATTAAATAAGTTTTTTGGCTTCCTTGAAAAATTGTGATTTTGAACTGTTTCCCTAGATGCAATTAATTCGATATGGATTTGTAATTTTCTTCAGTTCATTGGTTTGGAAACAGTATTTAATGCAATGCTTACCTACAACCTATTAGATTTGTGGTCCCGTGCACGTTCGACTACTTTATGTATCTATGTACATATATATTTATAACACGAATTTACTGTATAAGTTCTGAATAATTTTACACTTAAGAGTTTCATTTTTCAGTCAACCCGGCATATCCATTTATAACGTTCCTTTACCACCCTCCGAAACCGGACAACTTTACCGATACATTTGGGAAAGTGTGTTGGACATCTCTGCGAACAATTCAGCTTACGAGCATCCTTGGCATTTTTGGTGTACGGCAAAAAATCTGCATGGTACTGCAAGCCAGGAAATTATCCTGACTCGTCCGACCCCAACGGCTCAGTCGCTTCCCCCTGGACAACCAGTGTGCCTTCGCTGGACGCCGATGGAAATCGTCACTGAGGAGACAACTGTATCCCCATTCGCTAAAAATGGGTCATACCTAAAAAATTTTGACCAGAGTCTACAAACGATTTTACTGAAAAAGACCCCCGCTCCTCCTACTGATCTGGCAGTGAGGAAGTTCGTGGTGCTACTTTTCACCTTATTTGTAATAAGTTTGATCTTCTTTGTCGTCTTGACCGTCCTTGTGACACGTTTGACGCGGAAACTTGATCGTCTAGTAAGTGCACTTTATACTTGTCGTATTAATAATAGATTACTTTTTGATTATTTAAGAACACCAGTAAAATGGAGACGTGATTTTAATTGTTTGATCAGGTTGAGAACATCAGGGAAATGGTCGTACTGCTCAGGAATGGAAATGATTAAGTTCCCGTGACAACTTAAAGCAAGTATCCATGCTACACAGCTCCAAGTAATAAATAAGAGCAGATTGAGAGAAAGTTTCTGTGAAAATTTGTATTTTTGTAAGAAGCAAATACATATGTATCAAATTAACAGTATTTTCACCATTTCGCAATGTATTTATGTGTGTGTGTTTCTGGATTGTTTATTAAAATAAGTACATGCATATTTACAAGTGATACCTTTTTCATATTATGTTTGTCATACAGTCCGCATTGTTTGTTAGATCGTCTACTCCGCTTTTCGGCTATGGTAATTATTATAATCTAAAAATTTCAGTATACTAAATTGGGATGTATATATATGTAACTATGTAACTAACTACGGGATGGTGACTTTGGAAAGGCTAATGACAATTTATACAAATTGCATAATGCAATAAATATACATATGTACATACTTATGTACACTCTTAGAAAACTGGGATTAAATCATTATAGAACTGAGTATGTACATACATATGTGAATTTACATAGTACTTTGAGTTGTTAAATTTCATTACGTTTGACGAAAATTATAAATTTACAGTATGCCCATATTAGTGGCATAAATAAAACTGACCCTCCTTAAGAAAGTTAGATTATGGTGTAATTGCTGTTTTATGAGAATTTGATTTAAATATGTATGCAGAATCTGCATTGCAGATTCTTTTTTTAAATTTCTACCAGGATTTTTGCATAATTTCTTTGTTACGACGTATGCACATATATTTTCCGTTTAATAAATACATTCAGCTATTTATTGACGGGATGGACTTATTTTCTACTTGGAAAGCAAAGCATTGATCGTATAATCCACATAGGCCGAGTAAAAAGTGCACTTGGTCTCCCTTTTCAACGCGAACAAGGTGAATCCAGGCAGCCCCGCATTTGCCATTAATGGCCTTAAAGCCTTCATATACTTCAAGAAATACTTTCTCTCGTGAGAACTTATTACTTCAGAATAAGCAACTTCTATGACACGTGTTCCTATCAATTTTGCACTATCCATATAAATTGCGACACCGACCGGAAGCGTGAAATGAATCGTGACCGCGACCAGGAACGCACCAGCGGGAAACTTTAAGAAAAATGGGAGCGGAATGACATCCCATAGCGCAATCGCGGCATAATTGAACATAACACCCACCACAAATCCTAAACACATTAAGCTAAAAATACCAATGTTTGCCGTGTTTTGCGTGAAAATACCAAGAAAATAAAATTGCCTGTAATAGTCCAGAAAATCGGACAGGCTGCCAATTTTTCGCAACATTTTGCATGATTTCGTGGTAGAAATACTAACCAAAGATAGCGTAGCAACGGTACAAGAGATAATTCTGAGAATGTCGAATATGGTAAATTGCAAAAAAGTGCAGCGTAATAAAAGAATGGTAAGATTTTGCCAGGAAAACAGGCTGAACTTAAGGCCAAACAGGAAAGTCATATCGGTGAAAAAGCTGGAAAATGGATCCAATCTGAAAATTATGGCGAAGAGTACGGTGAACGGTTGAACGAGTCCTAGGCCGATAACGTTGGCAAGTATCATTAATTCGGCGAGTTGCGGTTTACCAGAGGTGGTGGAAGGGATGGCGGCCACTGTTAAATAAAAAGGAATTAGTGACAATCGCTGACCTATATGTAAATTTTCAATGCTGTGGCGGAAAAAGTGGGAAAAAAGCGTTTGGTTTATAATTCCTAAATAATTCGCTCCATTGGATACAAAAGGGTTATACAAACAATGAGAGGCATTACTAACTAGCAGAATCCTTAAGGATCGTGGATAAATTTTGCATTTTGGGTTGTGTCAAGTACTTTTAATATTACACGAGTTCTAAAACTGTTAAGTTACTTTCTGGACACAGTATATCTAATTGCACATATGTAATTATCGAAATCGGAGCGAGACTTGTATTAAGCCGTGGATTATTTTTGAAAAAATAGCTTTAAAATAATTGAAAAATTAGCTGAAAAGTTTCCTTCAAAATACCTTTCCGAATTCTTCCTTCAATCCCGATTGCATGATTCCATCCATTCGCGAACTCGTCGCCGTACTTGGTGCACGATAAGCCTACAACTGCGGCCATGATGGTCCCAGAATATCCAAACGCTTGAAGATAAACGACCCAGAAGGGATGTCTTAATGGAGGTGGAATACTACCCGGGGAGATAATTACGCGGAGAAAATAGAACGCCAGATAGAAAACTGCCAGAAATAGGAGAGACAACCTAAAATAAAAGTATCTCAAGGATTTCTTGTTTTTCACTTCTGTAACCCTGCAAGTATCAGGATTTATGAAGTAGGGATAAGTACACCATTGCTGAAACAGGATGTCGTAGGCTTTTAGCACGTTTTTAATCGTGGGAGAAATTTCCATAGTTCAAAAACAAATTTTTGGGAGTTTAAAGGCCAGGCCCCGTTTTAGGTATAGGCGAGCTAGGCAACCGCCTAGGGCGCCAGATTCTTGAGGGGCGCCGGCCGGCGCCCCCTTGTACTAGATAAAAACAACTTTGCGGAATTTATAATTTGTCGTGGAAAATGACCGAAAGTACAGGCTTTCACTGAAATCTGTACTACAAGACCTTATTTGTAAGTAATATTCAGAAATATGAACATGAAAATCCTGCCAGATAAACTTGCCATTTACATAAAAAAAACTGCAATTTCTTCGTAACACGTACAATAGAGAACTGTGAGGTGGTTACCTCCGATGTTGACCTGACCAACTTTAGATTGTACTAGGGTACATATACATACTTTTGCGATTGTTTGAATGACATGTTATCCTATGTGACGGAATTTTTAAATAATTTTGTAGCCAAAATCTGGGGTTTTTAAAGCGCTCTAACTTAACGTATTTTAACCCGATTTGAAAGATACATATACACACATTTTGTTCAGAACTGCTTTTCTGAAATTATAAAATCCGTTTTTCAAAAACTTGTAAATTAAACAAAATTAGCGTTTTTGGCTTCTTTAAAGATTCACAAAAACTCATAGAATGAAAATATCAACTGTTTAAAATATTAAACAAAAATTTGTTATTGTAGAGAAGTAATTCTAACAATGCAAGTCTTTTAAATGCACAACTCAGATCTGGTTGGGACCAATTTTATTTTGTTCACCACAAAAAATAAGCATACCGTATTTTTTCATTTTTCATAATACGCTAATTTGAGCGCGAGGCGCGAATTTTAAAACATTTTTCAGCCAAAAACCTCCGCTTTTAAAAATTGTGTAAATTTTCAAATTTAAGCCCCGAATCCGAAAATTCTAATGTTTTAAAATGTTTTAAAATTCTAATTTGAGCGCCTCGCGCTCAAATTAGCGAATTACGAAAAAAATACGGGTATGCTTATTTTTTGTGGTGAACAAAATAAAATTAGTCCCAGCCAGATCTGAGTTGTACACGTAAAAGACTTGCATTGTAAGTAAATATTGTGCGGAATTTTTTAAATCGGGTAAAACTGTAAAAAAATAACTGCGTTTGCAAAATCCGTATATTGGGTGTAATTTGATTTTTAAAATTTTAAAATTTTAAAACGTATACACAATTTGACAGAATTTGACAGACTTTTAAAATTCTGTCACATTCGTAATCCCGCAGATTCTACAAAAGGAAAAAATGTGTCTACTTATTACTGGGCATGAATAATTTAAACTTGAAATGCGATGGTGTGAAGTGTAATCCCCGATTTGGTTGAAATATCCAAATTATGTGGCCCATGTCAATACCACCAACGTTTCTTGAGGTAGTTTGTGCGATGGTTGGAGTTTCTCAACATATTTTAGGTCAAAGTTGAAAAACGGGCGATTTTACCAGGCAGACTCAACTTCCGTTCTCCTCCCTAAAAATTGCACATTCTGATCATGCGATGGGATTCATCGCACAGACTGCCTGAGTAAACGTTGCTTGTATTGACATGGACCACATAATTTCGAATTTTTTTAATGGCTTTAATGTCCACGTCACACCTCTTCATTGTTAATTTTGAAGTAGCAAAGCCTCAAACAGTAAGAATTCTTAAGTAGGCTTCTTTTCCATAATATATAAAATTCAATTATTTTTTCAGGAATTAAAAATATTTAAAACGCTGATTTTTGTAAATGTAATTAGCCCGAAATGCGATTTTGTGTAGGATTATATTGTAAGGTGTAGTAAGAGTGTTTTCGAGAGTCGGAGATGCGAGCACGTAGGGGCGCCATTATCGTTTTGCCTAGGGCGCCATATTGCCTAGACCGGGGCCTGTTAAAGGTTATTCAAACGCCGATGAAAAATCTTCAAATTTAACTTAAAAGTAAAAATATGTAAATTTCTGTATTTGTTTTAGTATTTATAAAACTTAATTTATAAGAAAGTTTAAACCAGAAATCCTAACAATTTGAATAATTTTTTTCGAGAATTGCCTAATTTCGATGCTACCTCACGAACAACAATGGACTAGTTTTGTAACAAGTTAACGTTCAAAATCTTTGATATATTGGTGTCCACGTAGGTTAGCGTTTAAGAGGTTAAACTTCACAAATAAGTATTATTTATTATATTATCCCCTAATCGCCCACAAATATCGGGATGTCTATGCATTTTTTAGTTAGTTATATAAATTAGCGTTCTTAACGAGCTGTTATCGAGCCGTGTGGTAAACGTAAGATTTAGATTCTGTAATATTTTAGTTGAGGTTGCTCAATTTTTTTCAGTTTAAAGACCACGTGCAAAAATTTCGGATCTTCATAGCAGATAGGTAGGTTGCCGTTTTTCGTAGTCATTGCACCAAAAAGTGGAAACCGTCGAGCCAAGCTGATGTCTCGGCTCGACAATTTTTAACTCTTCTTAGAAATTCTGCCCGATTTTGGATCTGAGATAAATCGATTAGTTCACATAGTAGCAGGAATTGTTCTTTCGACTGAAAAAATTAAGTAAACTCAGCTAACATTTTATTAAATCCACACCGGAAGTTCGACTCCCCGCTCGATGACTACTCGTGACCAGCACTTATATAAGTTGTGGTGTCTACCTCTGATAAGAAACCGAAGTTGACCCTTCCGTTGATTCAAATATGAAAATTTGAGTAGGGAAGTTTGCTATTTAAT